CCAAGCTTAAACACATACCAGTTGTTGATCTCCTGGTGCCATGATCTCCTGCATAATCAGCATCACAATAAACAACTAACTTGCAGTCTTCACATTTCTTGTACAAAAGACCATAGTCAATTGTACTATTCACATATCTCAGTATTCGTCGAACTGCTTCCAAATGAGGCTTCTTTGGATTTTGCATATACCGACTCATCACACTAACTGCATAAGAAATGTCAGGTCGGGTCAAGGTTAAGTAGATCAGACTACCTACCAATTGTCGATACATTGTTGCATCTTCCAAATCCTTTCCTTCATGTGAACACGTTTTGACAATTGGTTCCATTGGCGTTGAAGTTGACTTGCATTCGAGCATTCCAAACCTCTTCAACAAATATTTAGCATATTTCTGTTGACACAGAAATATTCCTTCGTGTGTGCGATCAACCTCTAGACCAAGGAAGTGCTTAAGTTGTCCAAGTTCCTTCATCTGGAAACGAACTGATAAATTCTCCTTCGTCTGAAGAATTTCTGCCTCATCATCACCGGTTATGATTAAGTCATCCAAGTACACTAGCACGATAACTAGCTTACCTTTATTGGCTTTGACAAACAAGCTAGAATCTGCAGGTGTTACTGAATAACCACTTTTCGTTAGAAATTCAACAATCTTACCATACCACGCCCTAGGTGCTTGTTTCAATCCGTAGAGAGCTTTTCGCAGCTTACACACATATTTAGGATGATCTTGACTCTGAAAACCCATTGGTTGGGTCATGTAGATCTCTCGATCTAGCTCTTCATGTAGAAAAGCATTCTTCACATCTATCTGCCACAAGTTCCAGTCTTTGTTGGCTGCAAGTGCAATTAGGACTCGTACGGTTGTAAGTTTCGCCACTGGACTAAATGTTTCATCATAGTCTAGTCCATACTGTTGAGAGAAACCACGAGCTACCAATTGCTCTTTGTACCTCTCGATTGACCCATCTGGATGACGTTTTATCTTGTAAACCCATTTGCAAGATATGGGTTTCACATCTTTTATCTTTGGCACAATATCCCAAGTTTGGTTTTTCTGAAGTGCATCGATCTCTTCTTTCATAGCTGTCATCAAACTCAGAACTCTGCGATGCTTCTTCGAACGTCTCAGGCTCTGTTGCTTCTTCAATTATGGCTGCATTGGCATATTTGGGATTTGGCCTTCATATTCTTGTTGACCTTCGGAGTTGAGATTATGGAATTAATTCTTCTGTTTCAGTAGGCCCACCTTCTTCGTTTGGTTGTTGATACACGCCAGTTTGCCAAGGATTCTGAGTCACTCTTTGTTTGACATCATCGCCATTTGGATCTCCTGATTCATCTGAACTTGTTTGGAGTTGAACAGCGTGCTCCCCCATCTTTTATTGTAGCTTGTCTCCAAATTCTCTCGAATCTGATAACACCTCCTTCTCTAAGGACCACCAAGAATATGCTTCATCAAATACCACATTTCGTGACGTGTAGCATCTTCCACTAATTTGATCACAATATTTTCACCCTTTTCTCTGGCTGTCGTATCCCACAAAGATACATCTAACAGCTTTCTTGTCAAACTTGCTCCGTAAATGATCAGGAACAAACACATAATATACACATCCAAATACTCGAAAGTAGCTAACTGTAGGTTTTATGTTCCATAGTTTCTCAAAGGGTGAAACATATCCTAACCTTGGTTGAGGAAGTCTGTTGATCACAAAGGTTGCAGTCCTCATTGCTTCAGCCCAAAACCTTCCAGGTACGTTCTTTGCATGTAGCATACTTCGACAAATTTCTGCAAGATGTCCGTTTTTCCTTTCCGCTACACGATTCTGTTGTGGTGTGTTGGCACAAGTGTACTGATGACGTATTCGACATTTCCTTAGGTATTGAGAGAAGTCGTTCGATCTATATTCTCCTCCGTTATCTGTGCGCAAGCAACATATCTTCTTTTCCACTTCTCCTTCAGCTGAGTCTCTGAACTCTTTAAACTTTGAGAATGTGTCAGATTTTTCTTTCATAAAGAAAACCCACACATACCTGGAGAAGTCATCAATGAATGTTACCATGTACCGCATACCACTAATTGATTGTTGCTTAACCGGTCCGAACACATCAGAGTGAACCAACTCCAATGGTTCTTTTGCTTTAAACTTTGACTCTTCATATGGTAATTGGTGTGCTTTACCATAATGGCATCCTGCACAGATCGTGTTTGTTCTCATGTTTAGTAAAGGAAGTCCCTTAAGCATCGACTTTTTCACCATCACACTTAGCTTGGAATAGCTAACGTGACCTAACCGCATGTGTCATAGATCTGATGTCTCATTTTTTCTTATCCTGTCTATATATGCAGACTCTGCTGACATCACGTAGATTGACTCCAAGCGTCGTCCCTCCATTGTTGATGTTTCTGAGATATTGACGTCATGATAAACCTTCACGTCTTGGGGACCAAATAAGACATAATGGCCTGATGATGTTAATTGAGCCACAGATAAAAAAAATTTCTTCATTCCTGGGACATGATAAACATCTTGAAGTTGCACCTGGTTAGAATTACATCGAGGCGTAACTATCGTCTTACCGATGTGAGTTATCGGTAACCTTGAATTGTCAGCTGTCACCACCACACGACCTCCATTGTACTCAGACAGTTTTGCAACTTCTGTTTGTCACCCGTCATATGATTTGAGCAGCCCGAATCTACGATCCAATCATTCTTGTAGTCAATCCGTTCTGGTGTTGTTACCGTGAGAGCTAATTCTTATTCCTCAGTAGCAAATAATGCTTCAGCATCCCAACCATCTTCACTATTCTCCTTCAAACTGGAAGTAGCAGTATTACTTTCAACAGGTTTTTTCTTGGTCCAACAGTCTTTTGCCATGTGGCCCATCTTCCCGTAGTTGTAACACTTGCCATCGAACTTTCTACTATTACCGCGATTCTTGGAAGCTCCCCCTGAATGATGGCCCCCATTTCCTTGGTAATTTTTCACCTTGTCACCATTCTTTTTAGATCCACTGCCAGTATACTGCTGAAAAGTCCCTCTACTTTTGCTGGTGTAGAGCGCTTCCTCTTCACCCTTCAGCGAGACTCCTCCCATTTGCTTGGCCATGGCTTCTTGATCTGCAAGCAAATTTTCAAACTCAACAAGCGATGGTTGTGTCAGCCATCCCTGTACAGCGGCAACAAACCCTCGATATTCGGGTCTCAAACCATGGACAATTATTCTTTTTATCCTGGCTTCCCCAATAGCAGCTGTCAGATCTAATTCTGAAATTTCGCGACATATCGATTCACCTTGGAATGTATTGGGCAACTGCCATGTCGCGTTGCGCCATTGATAGAAGTTCATTCTCGAGAAGTTGTAATTTTATATCGTTCCTCTTCGAAAAGAGTGTAACAAAAGTGTCACATGCTTCCTTTGGTGTTTTAGCATCCCAGATGTGCTCTAACATTTCTTCTTCAATTGTGGTCTTTAAAGCAAACATTGTTTTGTCTGCTTTAATTTTCCACTTTCGCAAGATGTCATTGGCATCTTCTGCCGCCGGTTGTGTAACTTCTCCACCACCGACAACCTCCCAAAGTCTTGACCTTGTAAGTATGACTCCATACATGTTGCCCACGTGTTGTAGTTTTTTTGTTGAGCTTCTTGATTCCTCCAACTACTTGAAGATCACCCATCTTAACGGCAATGCTTTGACTATACCGAACAAATTTGAGTAACAAACGAGCAGAGTACTAAATTACTCTAGACACAAAGAAGCTTCACAAGGTTTGTAATAACCCCGACAATAATCTCAAAAAATCTTTTCTGATGTGGAAGATCAATTAAAAACTGCAGCCACATAGCATACTTGGAACTTCAAGAGACCTTAAAAACGTGGCTCGGATACCAATTGTTGAATCGAAAAGAGTAAAAACTCTAATTGATCGAGAAGAAGAAAAACTCTCTTTAGAATAATCTCACAAAATTGCAAAAGGGAAGAACTCTTAAGAAAGCTTTCAAATGCTTATAATTAAGCTTTGATTGTTGGATGATAAAACTCAAATACAAGTAGGGTATTTATAGGTTACAAGAAACAATATAAACCACTCATTAAAATAAGCACTAAATAATCTAAACCATTGAAATTAAAATATGAAAAAAATACTTAAATTTTCACCTAACTAAATTGATGTAAACAATGACATCAAAACTAAATTGATGTAAGCAATGACATCAAATTAATTTAGGTGTGAACTTATTTAAGCTAATATTGAATTTTTAACAAACTTTTTAATTGAATTTATTTTGACTCGGTCGAATGTTTAACCTTGTTTTGTACCATCTCAAATTTAAAGTTCATGTCTGTCGCTTCAATTATAAAAAAATAAAATAAATTAACTCTTGGTATCTTCAATTATAAGTAAAATAAAATAACTTTTAGTTCTCTAACTTTTAATCTTTAACACTATATAATAACTTCTACAAAATAATTTTAAAATATATTCATATTAAAATTTATTAAGGGCCAGTTTGAATTGCTTTTGAAAATTGTTATGGAAAAGTGTTTGAAAATATTTATTTTGTAGCTTTTTTTTTTTTTTTGCAGTCCTTAAAATTATTATTTTGAAATAGTTGAATCGACTACTTGGCAACTTAACCCCATGTGGAATTTGATTGTCGCTGACTGCATTCAAGCAGCTGAACTCCGGTCGTGCGATATTGATCAAGAAGTGGACTTAGATTATTATAATTATGAGAGTGAATTCAGGGTAATGGTGATTTTGGGGTTTAGTCAAAAAGTAAATTAAGATAGCTACTGATTGGTGATTTCGGGTCCAATGCCCATCCCTACATACATCACTGCATTTTGCAGGCACACTATGAAATAACACTTGATGAAAAGAAGCATATTATACATGACTTGAAATATGATGGTAAAACTAATACACTGTGGAATATCTTTATAAGATCTCGAAAATATAAGAATTGCTTTTCTCAATATTCCTCCCTGTGGTTTGTTTTTCTCAGTATTCATCTAAATAAGTATACAACGTCTCATCTTTCTTTGATTTACGACTCAGCAATGCTTTCAGCAGTCTTTTGCTTTTGCTCGGGACTTGCTCAGTGTCTTTCTCACTTTGAAGTCGCATCGAAGCTGATTTCCGGGGCTCCGATGGGTACTGTCAATAAATTATACAAGCACCATTAACACTGTATGAATCAGTATCCGCTTTAACACACTTCTAATGTGTGGCAATGCTCCATTGACATGTTAGTTGACGTTGTTCAAGTTAGCCGTAGACATATTTCAGTTAATAGCCACAAAGTTCCTTCGAAACAACTATGCATACAGATTAAACTATTCGATGCTTACCCGCCGCCTTGCACCGGCTGAATTCGGAGTAGTTGGGCAGCTCTTATTTGGCGTTCTAGGCCTGCTCATGGATCCTGTACGTAGAAGTGGGAACCGATGCGGTGATACCGTTCGCTTCTCTGGTTAAACGAATAATATACATCAATGACACATGACAAGATGAGTAGAGAAAAATGCACAGGACTGCGGTTCAAAAATATAATGAAGTCAAAAATGCATCCGACCTAGTTCTTTCTTCGGTGTGGTGGCAGTAAAGGAAAAGGTTGAAGATTGCTGCAGTGGCCGTGGAGATGGTGATGGGGAACGCCCTTTTCTGAAACTATTACCAGACTAAATATCAGTGTTTCTATTTACACAAGTTAGTACCTAAGGATTATTTATAATCCAATATTAATCCTTACCTGACTGAAGGTGTCGGGGTTTGCCGGACTAAAGACGGTGGTGTTTCTCGAATTGTAGCTCGAACAGCTAAGAGAAGTCATTACAAGTAGGAATAAGTTAGATAAGAATCTTGTCCAAAATGTAAAAAGGATGATAGAAGGATAGATAGAGCAACTACCATTCCTGAACTGATCCCAGTCATCTTTGTCATCTAGGCTGCATCCGAGGTATTTTGACTTTGTATGGTTCGCACCGTGCATAGTCTCCCCAACTGAAAAGTAATCAGACATTGAAAACAACCAGATATCATTGTCTCTGTAATTGCTAAAAGAATGGGAAAGAACGAAAAGGAACAGAGAAGGGTACATTACCCGGCAAGAAGTATCGTTTATGGTACTTTGGCGTATTAATCACCAGCGACTGTTGGGAAATCCCTTCATGATCGATATACTCTTGGCATGTTCGCAGTCTCTATAATGACCGTAAAACATATTTCAGTACTCTGAATCATCCCATGATGAAGCAAAGGGGTGGCGTTTTAACTAGACTGGGATCATACATGCATAATACCCCATGCTTCTAAATAAACCAAGGCTAGACTTGTAGTTATCCCCCTATTTAAAGAAAACAATCCAAGCTAACCTGTTCGATACAAGATACTCGGATCTCGGTTCCCGAAACCTCTTCAACTTTTTCATCCAAGATATCATTAACCTTGTATGTCACGGATCCCAAATGGTCTATGGTATTCACAAGAGCTTTGATGGTATAATCTTTCAATGTTTCTATCACTCTGCATATACATGAGGATCTTATACTTGCACACTACAACAATTTAATGTATGAAATATGAGGAATCAGAGTTACTCACATCTGCTTTTGGTTATCATTGGTGTAGTACATTTCAAAATACTCAGCAGCTGAGTAGAGCTGTGATCTGAGATTCTTCAAATCCTGAAACCAAGAAACCGTGTCATAAAACAGCATTCGTAGAAAGCCATGATTCTCGGAATTGGGTGCAAGCATTGGACATGAGTACATGTCCGAATGTGTCGATACTCGAAAGTGCCAAATGGTTGTTTCATACTTGAGAAACATGGATGGGAACTAAGCTACCTTGAGAAACAAAATACAAGCACTGTAACTAGTACCTTAAGACTATCAGAGAACAACAAGCTGTGCTCCATAGAAATCTCATCATAATTGGAGGGTTCTCGAGACATGGGCATTGCAGCAGCCGGAGCCATTAAATCCGTGGACAAAGTGGGACGGACCGAGCAAACCTTGATCTGCATCAACCGAAATAATCAAATATCACGTCCCCCTGAGCATAATGAACACCCCCAAATAATCAATATGACCAAAGGTGCTTGTATTTGGGTCAGAAAATGGAGAGAGTCAAAATGAACACACATTGAATCTTGAGAATCATAAAATAAGAACCACAGAGAATCAATAGCAATATGACAGCAGCAAGCTTGAAACCTGTAGACATACTTGAAAGCTAAGCTGCAACTAATGAGATACAATAATGCAATTATTCCAACTAAACATTACCAAATGTATGACAAAGTTAAGGAAACAATTGAAAATAATAAGAAATTATAAAACCAAACAGAACTTTACCAGTTGATCATACACTTCAGCTACTACCCAGGAGAAAAAAAATTAAAAAAAGAAGATATAACAAAAATAATGGAATCAATACAGCTCCTGCTATAGGAAGAAAAGCCTATTTGGTCTTGCCTACAGCAATACTGGAAATGTATTGAACATTTTAAGAACCCCAAAAGCTTAAAAATTGTCCATACTTATTTTTGGCAGAAAAGAACAGAAAATAGGCAAATGGGCTCAGCTGGTTTCAAAACAAGCGGTAGCCTTGTTTTGTTAATCTTCTCCCCGTTTTTCTCAGTTTCCCAGAATTTCGATACTCAAAAACTTGAAGCTAAACCGAAATAGAAAGTGGGTTCATGAGTGAAATTGCATAGACTAACCTCGTCTTTGTAAAATCTTCTTCTTTCGTCCCACTTCCTGTGTAGCTCACAGCTTAAAAATCACCAGAAGTTAAAACAACGCCTAATGATTCACGGATGCTAACATTCGTAAGAAGGAAAACAAAATACTAAACATTGAAAAACGACAACAGAAACAGGCGTCTACTGGCTTGGGAGCTGCTTAAAAGGCAAAAGACTTGTAGTCGTACAAAAAGAAAGAAGAATAAAAAAGGATAAAGAAGGGGTGCATGTTTGAACCTTGACTAAATTGAGAGGGAAACAAGGTTTAACCAAGATTTTATAGAGTAAAATGCAAAAGCAAAAGCCAAAGCCGAAATGTGTGAACCCCGCTGGTTATCTTCCATTTTAGTGGGAAAACTTGCTTTTTGCAGCTGTAGTTTTGGACAACTACAAGCTTAACCGTTTGATTAGGAGACACATGCATCTATTTTCCACAGGTTCCTGTCTCAAACACATAATTCTATGAACAATAACTGACCAAATTCCTTTGTTATGTCGAAGGATGATTTTTCCACACTAGACGAACGATGATAAACACCATTAATAGTAAGTATTTATAAATTAATTTATAAAATTTTAAAATGTTTAACGTATAATTATAAATTAATTAAAATTTTAAAAATAAATTATTTAAAATAAAAGGTAAAATATAATAGTGACCACCTAATTATTATTCTTTTTATTTTGACCATCATTTTAAAATTTTGTCAATCATGTCATTCAAGTACTATTTAAATGCATTAAAATCACTTGTCAATAATATTTAACGAAAAAACTGATGTAGCAATTAGTATATTTGATATAATTACACATTTAATCAATGTTACTTATACATTCTATCAATTTGGTCTTAATTTTAGTAAATTAAAATAATTTAATCTCAAATATTCCAAAGTAATTAATTGGAGAGGAATCCAATTTAATGCCAAATAGTTAATTAGAGAGGAATCCAATTTAATGCCAGCCAGTACAATTTTTCTTCTCTTTTTTGGCTTTCATTATTTTTCTTATAATAAAGTAAAATAAATCTGTCAATGTTTTGTGATGAGACGTGAAACATTTCTCTATATGTTCTTTATTTTTTAGCTTAAAATATTATATTTTACATAGATACATGCAATATAATTAGTGTGACAAATTCATGTGTTTAAATTATATCTTTCAATGATTTTAGGAGTTTAAATTAGATGTATTATTTTATTTTGTAATTACTTTTAGACATTTGTTTAAAAATATTTTTTTTATTACTCAACTATCCAAGTATTATAACTTTACTTTTACCTAATCCATCGCAATATAAGTAAAATCTAATTGTTTTGGATTAATTTTTAAGAGTATTAATTTTGATTTTACTTGATATATATGTGAAATCAAAGCGCTTGATATTTAATTTTTTTTAAATTTCTCAAAAATGAAATAGTTTTTTAAGTTTTCGTTTCTTTTCTTTCTTGTTTGTTTTCCTACAAATTGAAATGAATAAGATGAATAAAGACTACTTTGGCACAATTTGATTTGAGAGTTAAGTTTATTTTAATTTATTAAAATTAGGACCAAATTGATATAATATATAAGTAATATAGACCAAATGTGTAAAAATATCAAATATTTTAACTGCGACATCAGTTTTTTCGTTAAATATTAACGACAAGTGACTTAATTGAATGCATTGAAATAGTTGAGTGACCTGATTGGAAAATTTTTTAAAAAATGTAGTCAAAATAAAAATAAACAATAGTTAAGTGATCATTAGTATAGTTTACTTTTTATTTTAAAAAATTTACCTTTAAATTTTTAACTAACTTATAATTATACGTCGAGTTATTTAAAATTTAAAATTTCTATAAATTAAATTAATAATATTTATTATTAGTAATACCCATCATACTCGTCCACCTTAAGTTTTTTCAAATTATTATAATAATCAAGCTTGGTTTGTGGGGGAAAAAGAGAGAGGTAAGTCAGCAGGTTATATGGGAGAGAGTGTAGCGCGTTGACTGGGTGCAATAATGGCAGGATCGCACTCTATGATGAAGTTGATTATTATTTAATTGGTGAAGTTGAAATTCAAAGAGAATGTGTTTTTGTTTCGTGATCCATGGCCATAAAATGATTTTGTTATTAGAAGATGGGTATATTGTCGAATTGTATTTAGTGGCCGTAAAATAAATTATTTTTAAATTGAGAATTTGGGAAGTGGGAACCAATCAATCAGTGGCGTGATCGGTGGGGAATTGCGATGGTCCCGCTCCCACTTTGGGCTGTGCAAAATCATTGCCTCTTTTTGCTTCTCAATTTCTCCATCTTTCCACCAAAGTCGTTGGAAGGTATTAGCCTCATCAAAATTTAGTTCAACTCCAAATATTGAAAACAGTATTCTTAAATTTATTTTTTAGTTTTTTAATTGTTTGAGTTTGAATAATTAAATCCAAACAAATTGAATTACAATTTTTTTATAGATGTCACTTGGTTCCTAACAATTTTAAAAATATATTAATTGATTCATCTTAATAAAATGTACAACAAAAATTTCAAAAAAATATATTGAAATTTCAAGTATTTTTATAAAAATGTAAAAAAAATACATGTAATTATTTAAAAATATATAAAGTTGTTAAATTATAGAAAAATTATTTTACATAAAATGAGTCTTGGATCACTTACCACTCTAACTCTTTACCCTATCATTTTTTGTGTGTGTGTGTTTGTTGTAGTTATTATATTTGATATGCCTCCTACACGTATTACTGTGAGTACGAGTTATGTCATGAGTCATACGAATGAGAACACATCAAAGGTTGGAGCAACTCCTATTTCTCATACGCCCCCTCAAAGGTAGAATCTTTCAAAACCAAGTATCGACCTTTTTTTATAACTACTAATATTTGATCTATTGATTGATTAATATGGATGAGGCATTACAAAGGCAAAGACGACCATCTCAACTCAGTTTGCTCTATTCGTAAAAGTCAATTCGAACGTTGACCTCACTTAAGAGATCTAATGTCTCATTTACTAAACCAATTGATTGTTTGTAATTATCGACTGTCGAGACAGTATTTACCCGGCAAAAACAAATGTCGTTATTTTTTAAATCTCGTCTCGAAAAAGTAAGTGTTTTTCTTCTTTGAATTAGATAAAACACAATTTGAGGAGTCGCCACCAATTATTTGTCGATGTGTGATTGGTCACAAAAAATATTTGGTTATTTTAATAAAATTTATAAAACAGTTATTAAAATAACACAAAAAGGGTCTGCTTACCAGAAAATGAGTTCAGGAGTCGGTTACGTGTGGGGAAGGGTTAGCACCCCACAACGCCCAAAATTGGTACATTTGTTATTAATTAATTGTCTTTGTAGTAAAAATTTACAAATTTAAATTTAATTAATTTATGATCCCAAAAATAAACATCAGGGGTACTATTTTATACCAATAATCATTTAAAACATATTCCTAGTAAGTTAAGGAAATATCTTTATGATTCATTGTATAAAATAATATAACCCGAATATATATAAACAAATTAAAATTATAAGGATTGGAATGCAAGATATTGAAATTAATGGCCATAATTTGAAATATTATGAAATTAAGGTACTAACAATGTAATTTAACCATAAATAATTTGTTGAGTTAATCGATTGACGGAATTGGCCAAGAGGGGGGTGAATTGGCAATTAAAAATTTGGTGGAAGCTTTTGCAGAAAATTGAAAGTAATTGCACAACGATTTATAGTGGTTCGACTTTGTCAATCAAAGTCTACGTCCACTACCTTAGCTATCCACACTAAGGATTTTCCAACAAATTCACTAATTTGTTCTTTCTTTTGAGGCCAAAGAGATAACCTTACAACACCCTCAAGAATATAGCCCAATTCTTGAGAACACTATTTCCCAAAGAGAAGATTACAAATTTGCAAACTTACAAGGAAAACCTCACAAGGTAAGATGTTTGCACAATTCTAGAACAAGAAAAGAACACTCAAAGATAATTACAAATGAGCATAAATGGTGTTCTTGAAAGCAAAATGAATATTGGAAGGAAAATTGGCTTGAATTGCACAAACTTGGTGTTTGATGCTTTCTCTCTTGTTTCTCTATAATTTCTTATTGATCAAGGGCTTCAGAACTTGTTTAAATACACCTTGAATCACTTCTGAACGTTGGGGATGATTAGTGAAGATCATATAGCCGTTTTAGTGTGAAAATAATTAATAAAACAGCTTGGAGCGTGGGGGGAATCGGTACCCCCTATGGGGAATCGGTTCCCTAAGTGTAAAATTCAAATATTTCGACCGTTATAAAAGGGGGGAATCGGTACCCCCTGGGGGAGAATCGGTTCCCTCCGAGCATACTGGATTTCTCGGAGCCAAACCATTCAGGGGGGAATCGGTACCCCCTTAGGGGGGAATCGGTTCCCTCTGAGCAATCTGGAATTTTTGGCTTTGAAATGGTTCGAAATACTTTGTAAAATTATTTTGAAATTGTTTTAAGATTAAAACTTAATTTTACACTTTGAGTAAGGATTAAAAATGATCTTTGAAAGATTTGGAGTAATGTTCTGATATTCGAATAATTCTATCGAATATACTTAGAAAATCATTTGGAAAATCTTAAAATTCATTTAACTTAATTTGTTATATCGAAATATCAAAATATTTTCAACAATCTCCCCCTTTTTGATATAACAAAACATTTTAGTAATTTTAAGATTTTGAAATCAAGTTTTGAAATTACTCCCCCTTACTTTAACACTTCTCCCATTTATCATTTAAAAACACTTTAACACTTCTCCCCCTTTTTGTTAAATCAAAAAGACATTTTAAAGAATTTAAACAAGGTTTTGAAATCATTTAGCCAATTGATTATATATAATATAAGCTGCTAAGATCACAAGCAAGAGAAACGTTAGCCATTAGTTTCATAATCAATATTCATAATTAATATGAAATGGCAAAATTGGTCATATATCTAATCATGAAATAAATGATGCAATAATGAATAAATTTAATCATACCAAATAGATAATTTATAACCATTCATG